GAGGTCTGGCGACGGGCCGAAGCGCTGACGAAAGAGGTCGTCCAGGCGACGAAAACAGCGGGGAGTGGAGTGACCGATCTTACCGCAAACGAAGCCGCGGCGAGGACCGGTCTGGATCTGGTACTGACAACGCCCGCCGCCAGAGCCACCACGCGGAACACCACCACGCGCCCGGCCACCGCCAGCGCCGGGCCACCCTGGCGGGAGGACACTTGTCTGCCGCGTCTGCGACGGCTGCTGCGGCTGCTGCGAAGGCTGCGACTGCGGCGGCTGCTGCGGCTGCTGCACCTGCAGGGGCGGCGACTCAGCTGAACTGGGCAGGGTCCCCTCGTCCACTCCAGCACCAAGCGACCCGACCCCACCACTACCCCCGCCCGCACCCCCGCCGCCTCCTCCGCCGCGCCCAGCCTTGGGGCGGCGGCCCTTCCCCGAACGGACCTGCGCTGCAGCAGCAGTCTCAGCCACTACGGCAGAGCCGTCGGAGAAGGTGCACTGAGCGGGGGCATAACCCTGAAAGATAGGGACCGGCACGACACCGCTCGCCTCGGCGATGGAGCGGTGACGGGTCTCTATCACAGTCAGGGTGTCTACAAAGTCAGTGAGGGTGAGGTCTGCGGGGTGAACGCTAAGAAAGCGGTCGCGGGCGACAGCAAGGCGGTCAGGGAGGCGGGTGGCAAGGAGGTAGAGGGTAGAGGTAATGGGCGGCTGGTGGGCTCTAAGCTGGGCGTCAGTGCAGGCAGCGCGCCAGGTCTCATCTATCGAGCGCAGGTGGGCAGCGAGGTCAGAGACACTGGGGAAAGATGCAAGGTCAGGAAAGAGCAGCGGGAGGATCAAGCGACCCACCGAGGCAGCCGGAGGGGTGGAATAGCGCTTGATCACAGCATCTAAGTATGCCTGAGCAGTAGTGAGGGACCGAAAGCGAGGACGCTCGGATGGGGGAAGGGCGTTGCTATTGGCAAGCTGGGCAACAGCATCGCGAGAAAGCCAGACAGAGCGCGCACGGGCAGTGGCAGCAGTAGACTCACGCTCAGTGGGTGTGGGGTCAGCGGGCAGGATAGCAGGGGGGTCTGGGCAGGGGAGCGTACCGTCAAGGTGTGCGGAAAGCGGTTCACCATCCTGCCGCTGGCCAGTGAGTTGGCGGCGGAGGTCGGCAAGCCACGCCTCGAACTCTAGGGGCTGACCTTCAGCGTCGAAGCGAAGCTCCGCCGCCATCAGGAACAGTCCAGTGCGGTGCAGGGCAGTGCAGTGCGGTGCAGTGCGGTGCAGTGCGGTGCAGTGCGGTACAGTGCGGTGCAGTGCGGTGCAGTGCGGTGTAGTGCGGTGTAGTGCGGTGCCAGGCAGTACAGTGTGGTGCGGGGCGGCACGGAGCAGGGCGGGGTGGGGTGGGGGAACCGTACCAGTGCGGAGGACGGGGCCGGGGCTGGCCCGACGGGGCCGGGCGGGCGCGACGGGACCGGGCTGGTGCGACAGGGCCGGGACGGGGCGACGGGGCTGAGCGGGCGCGACGGGGCCGGGCTGGGGCGACGGGGCCGGGCGAGTGCGGCAGGGCCGGGCCGGTGCGACGGGGCCGGGCGAGCGGGACGGCGGCCGGGCGGGTGCGACGGGGCCGGGCGGCTGCGACGGGGACGGGCAGGGTGCGACGGGGCCGGGCAGGTGCGACGGGGCCGGACGGCTGCGACGGGGCCAGGCAAGGGCGACGGGGCCAGGCGGCTGCGACGGGGCCGGGCGGGCGCGACGGGGCCAGGCGGCTGCGACGGGGCCGGGCGGGCGCGACGGGGCCGTGCGGGTGCGACGGCGCCGGGCGGGCGCGACGGGGCCGGGCGGCTGCGACGGCGCCGGGCGGGCGCGACGGGGCCGGGCGGGTGCGACGGGGTCGGGCAGGGTGCGACGGGGCCCAGGAGGGGCGCTACAGGGCCCAGGGAGGGCGCGACGGGGCCCAGGAGGGGCGCTACGGAGCCACGGAGGGGCGCGACGGGGCCTGGGAGGGGCGCGACGGGGCCCAGGAGGGGCGCGACAGAGCCCAGGAGGGGCGTTACGGGGCCTGGGAGGAGCGCGACGGGGCCCAGGAGGGGCGCTAGGGGGCCTGGGAGGAGCGCGACGGGGCCTGGGAGGGGCGCGACGGGGCCTGGGAGGGGCGTTACAAGGCCCAGGAGGGGCGCTACGAAGCCCAGGAGGGGCGCGACGAGGCCCAGGAGGGGCGCTACGAGGCCCAGGAGGGGCGCGACGGGGCGCTACGGGGCCTGGGAGGAGCGCGACGGGGCCCAGGAGGGGCGCTAGGGGGCCTGGGAGGATCGCGACGGGGCCTGGGAGGGGCGCGACGGGGCCTGGGAGGGGCGTTACAGGGCCCAGGAGGGGCGCTACGAAGCCCAGGAGGGGCGCGACGAGGCCCAGGAGGGGCGCTACGGGGCCCAGGAGGGGCGCGACGGGGCGCTACGGGGCCTGGGAGGAGCGCGACGGGGCCCAGGAGGGGCGCTAGGGGGCCTGGGAGGAGCGCGACGGGGCCTGGGAGGAGCGCGACGGGGCCCAGGAGGGGCGCTAGGGGGCATGAGCGGAAGCGGTAGGTGGGGGGGGGGATCCTACCTACGCGTGATACCATATCAGAATTGGAATTGAATAATGGTAAAGTGAGAGTACACACAAATATACCTAAGTGTTGTACCCTCTAAGAGGTAACCCTATACAGTCTATACAAACATGACAAATACAGATGTTTGACAAGCGGCACTGTGTACAGCTTGGTCTTGTTCCTGTAGCTACTCACCTGTTAGGATCGTGATTGTGTACTTTCTATTATATATACCTGTCAGACTGGCCTTGTGGCCTTACCTCCAGTGGCTGGACTAGTAGTGTCGCCCTGGTCTTGCTCTTGCATTGTCTGTACTCGTTTGGCTGGTCTTTAGACCCCTGCCTCAGAGGCTGGACTAGTCGTGCCACCCCGAGTCGCTTCTCTCTCACTAGGCACTGCCCCTATCCAGTATAGGGGGAGTGTCAAACATATCTTTGTATGTTGTTATAGACTATATAGGGTTGTGCCTTAGGGAGTACAACCCACTTGGTTATATTCCCTTGTATGTCATTGTTCTAGTTATTCCTTCACTTTAACAAAGACCATACCTTGGAGGGGGGAGGGTGTAAGGAAATGGCTTTTCCTTATCACACGTTTTAGTTCAAAATGTGTACATTGCTATAACGGGGCTGCCCCGCATCTCTGCCACGAAATTCAAATCACGACACCCAAATATGGTCTCTTGACGAGCCGCAAGCATTTTGCTCGCCTTGCTCTTCATGCTTAGATCTGAGCGCTTCGCGTCAATTTACAAACCACATGTCAGCTCTGCCGAGCCTCAACCGTGTGATTTAGGCCTAGCTATATCCATGCTCCATAATGTTTTGATGTTGCCTCATTGTATTGTTACTTTGCTTCTCAATTATTCGACACATGCTCTTTGCGCTTCATTACACTTTGACGTCTTGCATGTGGTTGTACAATCCAGTGAAATCTAAATACACTCCGTACAGTAATGAGGTTGGGTCTGCCAACCACTTGGGGAGCAAATCTCACTCCCCTGCAGTTGGTGCCGAAAAGGACAAGGCACTAGTTTTCTCGGCCACAAATTTCCCATTGTGGAGCTGCTCACATTTTGCGATTGTGGTTTTCGTGCGTTCAGTTCTTCTGCCCCACCCTTCGTTTATCCGTTGATCGTGAGCGTTTAGGGCGTGTCCAGCGCGTACATTTACAATTCACTTTATACGGTTCAATATGGCTTTCATTGTTTCAACGTGGTGAAGCGCGAAGTCCGCTCGTGAACTGATGCGATATATCAACTGAACCTTGACCTGTGTACTGTAAACGTCCGCGCGGGACAGCCCTTACTGTACTAATGCACTGTAGTACAGAATTCTGAAGGGGGAGCCAAGCAAACACAGCAGGAAAGAATTAGTTTCTGGTTTGGGTTCCGGAACATGAAAGCAATTTTTGCGCAGGCATGCCCTTGTGATGACGGTCCATCCAGATGAGACGAACGCGTGGTTTTGGCCGTCAAGCTTGTCGTATTGTGTCATGCTGGAATCGGGACTGCATTGACTTGTGCAATGCTCCGCTTTCCTACGTGATGTCGGATCGCAATTTCTCTCGTCGAATCGGCCACTAGCGATAGCGGGAACGAGTTACCCGCGCACGTAATTGGCAGCTCGGTGGCACGCGCCTCGCGCGCCGCATCCAAGGTTTGAATTTGTATCACAAGACCATCCACAGGTTCGCAAATCGTCGTAAGACATCGTCAACAGTGACGTGGACAACTGCTTGTTGCTGCATTCCTAGCCGCAACTGTCGTTCAAGCTTCGCCGCGTCAGCCGAGCTGTCGCGAACGTCGCTCACGTCGATGGTCAGCCCCTCTTTGGTGGGGAGCATGTCGTACGGGCTGCGACGGGATGGGGCATGTGCGACCGCCCAGACCCACATTCTTCGCAAATCGCCCCTCGAAATCTTTTCGTAGCGGCTGAAATCGAACACAATTCCCAATGCTTTCCCGAAACGCAACTGCCGAAATTGCCCCACTTCGCCCCATCCCTTATCTCTCTCCTGCCAGCCGCTTTCTCAACCCAACTCAGAACCCAAATTTCTTCGCCCCTGCTCCCACGATGCATGGAACACCATACAGCATGCGCAGCCACTCATACAGCGGCGGCCAAGCACCAACCCGCCCGCACAGCCTCTCCTGCCCAATCCAAACCCCCCACTCCATCCCATCCCATTCCAACCATTCCCCCACACGGCTCGATGTCAGTTGTCCTTCTTCCCCGCTCATGACTATGACCCGCCCCGTCCCCTGTCTGCCAGATTCCAACGTCATGCGACCTGAAGTCGCTCTGTCCCTCAGTTAGGTTGCTTGCTTTGCTCTGCGCCCGTCAGCACGGGGAACGAAGTGTCTCCTCCAGAGCAGAAGCAGCATCAGTCAGAAAGCACGCGCAATTGCTCCTGCCTGTCAGACCCAGTCATGCTGCTGGTTTCTCTCTCGCTTAGTTGCCCCTCCACCCATTTCAGTACGCAGCTTTGAGATCTGACCTGCATTTCTCGGTGTAAGTAGGAAAAAAAGGGCGCGAATCTTGCATAGACCTAGATGATCAGTGACGTATTCAGGAAACGCCTTGCAATACGTGCGGTCTATCAGAGACCTAGAGTAATAGTAGGTGCGCAAAGGTGGAAACGCGAAGGTAATCGAACGAAGGACGCTTTCGTCGGCACTTGCGGCGGACCACGTTAGATTCGGATCAAAACTGCCATGTACTCTTTAAGTTTAGACTAGGAAACTAAAGAACCGACTTCCCACATAGGCCGCTCGTACTCATGCTTTGGGGTGACTAAGCTCGCGATCCAATTCGTGGCATAACGGTAGTAGACGTGGGGACGTGTAGCGAGGTGATAATATCGAGGGGCGGATGCCTCTCGGTTTTGCGGAACCTCAAGACGAGGAGCCGAGACACATGCCGCCATCCGCGCATGCGCCCCCATCGGCGCACGCGCCTTCCGCCGCGCCCTCTGCGCAGGCGCCCCCGCTGATGCCCCTACCGAACGGCGCGCTGTTCGGCTCCGCCGTGCCCCTGCAGCAGCAGCAGCAGCTGCTCCAGGGGCGCGACGGGGAGGGCACGCATGCGCAAGCGCAGGTCCATGCTCCGCAGCAGGAGCTGAAGCCGCCGTCACAGCAGGCGCCGCTACAGGCGCCGCAGCACGCGGGGCAGCCGATGTTTCTAAACAGTCAGCAAACGGAGTCTCTAGGTAGTAACATTCACGGGTTGATTCATGGACCAGGGGTTGGGGGGACGGGGGGAACGCGGGGAGGCGCTGCGCCTGCGGAGCAGTCCGGGGTGCGGGTTGCGGACCAGCAACAGGGGCAGGCGCAGTCGGCGCAGGTAGCGCAGCAACAGCAGCCGCAGTTTCCGCAACCACTGGCGTATCAGCCATCGCAATTCCCCCCGCAGTACCCGCCACAACAGGCCCCGCAGTATCAGCAGCAGCAGCCGTTTGCGCAAGGGATGGCGGCACAAGGGGGGATGCAGCAACAGGGGCAACAGAACCAATACCAGCAGCAGCCGCAGCAGCAGCAGCCCCTTCCGGTATTTCAGCAGCATCAGCAGTATCACCAGCAGCAACAGCAACAGCAACAGCAGCAGCAGCAGCAGCAGCAGCAGCAGGGGCAGCAGCACCTCCACCCGCCGTCTCTCCACACTCTCTCTGTCACTGGAAACACGAGCGTGGCTCGTACCCCAGAAGGCAACTCGTCGTTGTCGTCGGCCCCTCATCTAGGCCCCCCTCGCAGCTTCACCAGCAGCAACGCTCCTGGAGCCTCCGCCTCCGCGCATTTCCTCTCCCCGCCTAACGCGAATCAGCAGTCGCGGCAGACGCATCCGCAGCAGCAGCAGCAGTACCAGCAGCAGCAGCATCCGCAGTACCAGCCGCTTCAACAGCAACAACAGTACCCTCCTCATCAGCAGCAGCAACAGCTGCAGCAACAGCAGCAGCAGCAGCCGATTGTGCCGCCGCTCCTCCACCTTCCCCTCCCCGCGCTCATCGAACCCCCCCCAGCCCCGGCTCCCCCTTCCCCACCCTCGCTGTCCTCCAAGTCCCCCGCGGAAGTCCACCCGCCGATGGAGCCGCTTCCGCCGCTGCTTCCGCCCCCTTCCAATCTCTCCTCTTCCGCCACCGCCGCACCATCGCTCCCGTCTCTCGGCCGTCCCCTTCCTTCGCTTGCGCACAACACACGTGGGCTCCCCTTTGGCGGAAACGGCCCAGCGGGCGCAAGCTCCACGGAGAACACCGCGGGGGCGGCGGCTCCGACACCAGCCACCACCGCGAACTACACGACTCCCGCGGGCCGGCTGCGCGTGGGCTCGCACCTTCCGCTGCTCGGCGGACGGTTCCGCTTCCGCGCAACGATTTCGGAGGGCGGATCTGCGCGCGTGTTCGAGGCGGTGGATACCGCGGGTAGCTCCGCGGGGGGCGCAAGCGGAGGAGGAGCGCTGGGGGGACTGCCAACGGCGTCGGATCTTCAACGGGGGTCTAGTCAGAATCAAAATAAGCTACAACCGACCGTTGTCATTAAAGCCATGCACCGACAGTATCGCGAGGTGGGGCGGCAGGAGCTACAGCTGCTACACATACTCAACTCGCTGCTGCCGGCCGCGATCGGCGGTGCAGAAAACGACAACGCGGGGGACGGCAGTCAGAGCAGTGACGGCTGTCCGGTTGTGCGGCTGATTGAACCGGGGGGATTCGATTTCTCGGGCCACATGTGCTTGGTTCTTGAGAAGCTTCACGGATCTCTCCTCGATTACCTTTGCCGCAGAGCCGTCGAAGACGCCTCCGCGAAACCCGCCGCATCAGCCGTCATCGCCGCGTCACCCGGCGGCGCGACCGCGTCCTGCACTTGCGCGGAGTCTCCCGCAGAGGCTGCGGGCGCGCGGAGCGGGCCAGTTCCGCGCGCGCCAGCATTCCCCGACAGAGTGGAGGACGTACGCGCGGTTGCGCGCCAGGTGCTGACGGCTCTCGCGGCGGTCCATTCGATCGGGTTCATCCACGGCGATATCAAGCCCGAAAATATTCTCCTCGCCGCGCCGATTCCAAGCGGAGCTGCTGCCGCCGCCGCAGGGGGAGCGTCGGGTTCAGAGAGGCGGGTTTGCCCGGTGCATTCCCCCCGGCCGCCTCCGTTGAGTATCAAGCTTGCGGATTTTGGAAATTCGTTCATGCAGCGGCAGGTGAAGGATTTGTGTCGAGATTTTGATGTTCAGACACTCGCGTACCGGGCACCGGAAGTTTTGCTTGGGCTGCCCTTCGATAAGAGTATTGATCTCTGGTCACTGGGGTGTGTTCTGTCGGAGCTCGCGATTGGCCGGTTGCTTTTCGTGTGCGATTCGCCGGCTCAGCTGCTTCGCCAAATGGTGGAGATGCTCGGATTACCACCGCCTGCGAAGCTGTTTCGCAACGGGAAGCTGTTCGCGCAGCTCGCGAGGAGCGCGCGCGTGTACCCGTCGCAGCAGCTGGAGGTGGGCGCAGGAGACGCGGACGGAGAAGGCGGGAAGGCCGCGGAAGAGGACGAGTCGGCGGAAAAGATTCACGCGACCATTCGGTAAGGTTTCAATGGCGGCGCGAGGTGAGAACGGGAATGCCGCTGATTACTTATTAGGTCAGGAAATTTGGGGGAGCGAAGGGAAACAAGTGGGGAGAGGGGCAAGGTTGGGATGTGAATAAACAGCGGATGCGCGGCACGGTTATGACAAGAAATTGGAGATTGGTATGGGACATTGGAGATACGCGACTCGGCAAGTGGTTTCGCTTAGCTGGTTTGATTTCGCTTGGGCTCGCTAAGCTTGCGAAAAGAGGGGGCGAAAGTGCAACGAAATTCGCAATCTGTATTATCACCCCATCATGCGAAGATTTTTTTTCTGTCGCACAGATCGTCACAATTCGCAAGTGTCTCATCCCTACTCGTTTTCATGTTCATCTGGCTTTTATTTGGCGGTGCACGAAGCTAAACTTTTTCACTTACGAAAGAAAGGAACTTCACACTTTCCTGCAACTCTTCGACTCTCCCGTCATCACCTTCTAATGCATTGCAGGCGTGGTCGTCTGGGCCGCATGCTGTTGCAACACGATCCAGTCATGGCAGAGCTCATCTTCTCCTTAATGGAATACGACCCAGCTAAAAGACCCTCCGCTCAGCAGGTGCGCCTCTTCGCTCTATTTCATTCTCTCACTCACACAGCACCCAGGCGAGCACACACACTCACGAATACATATGTCCTGATCGTGTCTCCCCACCGCTCCCACTCCCATTTCATTCAAAACCCTTTGATTTTTCTCATGTATCTCCGTACCTGCCTCATTCCTTCTCTCCCCCTCCCCCCCACACATAACCAGGCGCTATTGCACCCCTTCATCCAGAACCCCCACAACGCGCAACCATCTGCCGCCCCTCCGCCCGTCCCCTCCTCCCCCGCCCCCTCCGCTTCCATCCCCGCTTCCCCCGCGCTTCCCCCGCTCACTGCCTTCACCGCCCCCCGCACCGCCCCTCCAATCAAGGCCGAACCTATCTTCGAGCGCTCCGCTTCCTATCCTCTCACGTCAGGCTCGGCAGGAGGTTCGGCAGCATCCGGACCTGAGCCCATGGCTCTGGACTCTAGGCCCGGGCCTGCGCTTTCTCTGGGCTTTGGCCTCCAAGCCAAAAGCCCGTTCGAACAGCAGCAGCAGCAGCAGCAGCAGCAGCAGCAGCAGCAGCAGCAGGAGGAGGAGCAAGGGCAGAGCCAGCAGGAGCAGAATCAGCAGAGCCAGAAGCAGAAGAAGAATCAGACTCAGCAGCAGCAGAAGCAAGGGCAATCTACAGCTGCTGGTGGTGCCACTGCTGCTCCTATTGTTGCTGCGCCGACTGCTGGTACTCCTGGGGGTAAACCACCGGCCAACCGAAGAGCGGTAGCTCGTAGCAAGTCGGCGTCTACAGCCACCCCTTCAGGCAGGAAAGCTGCTACAGCCGCTGCTAAGGCCGCTGCTCTAGCTGCTGCCAGTGCTGCAACAACAGCAGCAGCAGCAGCAGCTGCAGCCGGTTCTACAGCTGCTGCTACTACAGCCGCTGCTGCAGGCACAGCACCAGTGACAGCTGGCAGCAATCCAGGACTTAGCGACTCTGCGGGTCCTTCTGCTGCTGCTGCCGGTGATTCCAAGCCTCCTGGCGATGCGCTTCACCTGAAGCAGCTGTCCCAAAACTCCCTGTTCTCTCGTGCTGCGTCCTTTTTGCAGTCCTTCAAAGCGGCTGCTCCGACCCCCGCTGCCGCTGCTACTGCTGCAGCCTCTCCTGCTGGTGGTGCTGCTGTTGCGGGGAGTGGAAACGTGGGTCCAGGCAATGGGGCAGGGGGAGGGATGGGGGAACAGCAGCAGCAGCAGCAGCAGCAGCAGCAGCAGTTAGAGAATGAGAGGTACTTGACTCAACAGCAGCAACCGCAGCAGCAACAGTTTCAGCAGCAGCAGCAGCAGCAGCAACAGCAGTTTCAGCAACAGCAACAGCAACAGCAACAGCAGCTGCAGCAGCATCACTATCAGCAGCAGCAACAGCAGCAGCAGCAGCAGCAGCAAGCGCAAGCAGCACATGCATCCACGCCGTTTTCAGTCGCCACCACCAGCAGCAGCAACCCCTCCCACCGAATCAACCATCTCCCCTCCCTCACCCCCCTCCCCAATCCCGCCCTCCCCCTCCCCCCACCCCACGCTCTCCCCGCCACCCTTCCCCCTGCTGCTGCGCCCTCCCCCTCCTACCCCCCCTCCAACCCCCCCCAAACCCCTGCTCTCCGCCCCTACCCTTCCACCCCTTACACTCACCCCCACAGCCACCCTGGCATGGTTACCACTCCTGCTGCCACGCCCGTTACAAGCACACCCGCCTCTCTCCCCCCTCCACCCTGCCCCTCCCCCTGCATTCTCCCTGCTGCTGCTGCTTCCGTTCCGCACCACCACCCCCAGCACCAGCAGTACCAGCAGCAGCACCAGCAGCAGCAGCCCCCTCGGTCCCTTTCTCTCTCTGCTGCTGCCAGTCTAGCCAACCAAAACACAAACGCCTACGGAAGCAGCAGCTATGGCAGTCCGGCACAGCAAGGCACAGTCACCTATGGGAGTCTGGCAACCCAAGGCTTGGGCACCCCGGGGGCTCAGCTCATCCAAGGGACCATTGGGGGGGCGCTGACCAGCAGAGGACTCACTAACTCTGCATCTGCCCCGGCTCACGGCTCTTCTCATGGGTCGTCTCTGCTTTCTGTCGCTGCTGCTGCTGCTGTTTCTGTAGCTGCTGCGGACAATAGCAGTGGCGGTGCTGTTGCTCCTGGTGCTGCTACGGCTGGCGCTGCTGGGCTCCCTGTGGGCATAGCCACTCCTGCTTATGGCACACCCGCTGCAGTGACCTCAGCAGGTGCTTCGGCTGCTGCTCAAACTCCCGGTACTCCTGCTGCTTCGTCCCTCACTCCCTCACTTCACCACTTCATGGGGCCTCCTTCTGGTGCTAGTGGCGCTGCGTCCCTTGCATCTTCCGCGGCTGTTAATGCGGCTGGTGGTGGTGGTGGTGGTGCCTCTTCACCTGCTTTGTACCCTACCGTCAATGCTGCCGGTGGTGGTGGTTGCAGCATGAGCAGATTCGCACTCCAGGCGCAAGGGCAGGGGCAACATGGTAACCAGCAGGGGCAATGTGGTAACCAGCAGCAACAGGTGCAGCAGCAGCAGCAGCAGCAGTATCACCAGCAACAGAATCACGAGCACCAACACGAGCACCAGCATCAGTGCCCGTTGCACGGCTCCCTGCCACACACTCACACTCACACGCCCTCACACACCCCCGCACACTCGCACTCACTACCCCATCCTCCCTCCCACACTCCAAACCAAGCGGCGCAGCAGCAGCAGCAGCAGCAGCAAGTGGTGGTGGGCATTGCTCGACCGCATATGCCCCACCTCACACACTCCCAGTCCTTCCCTCCCTCTCACCCCTCTTCCCACCCCTCCTCCCATCCCTCACCTCACTGCCACTCCCTCACTCACTCTCAGTCTCAAGGGCGCCTCTCCCCTCGTCACACTGCTCTGAATCACGCCTCCTCTCCTGCCTCCTCCGTTTCTCAGCACCAGCATCAACACTATCAGCAGCCGCAGCAGCAACAGCAGCAACTGCAACAGCAGCAGCAGCAGCAGCAGCAACAGCAGCAACAGCAGCAGCAGCAGCAGCAGCAGCAGCAGCAGCAGCAGCAGCAGCAGCAGTATTATCAACAGCAGCAGCAGCAGCAGCAGCAGCAGCAGCTGCAGCAGCAGCAGCAGCAGCCGCAGCAGCAGCAGCAGCAGCAGCAGCAGTATTACCAGCAGCAGCAGCAGCAGCAGCAGCAGCAGCAGCAGCAGCAGCAGCAGCAGCAGCAGCAGCGGTCTATTGCTCCTCACCCTTCTTCTCCTTACCCCTCCACCTCTCAGGCTCCTGCCAGTCCGGTAAGCAGTGCCTCCACTGCTTTCCATACTGCACCCACTCCCGCCCTCCGCCCCGCCCCTGCTCCCGATTATGCGTCGCCTCCTGCTAATGTTTCTGCTGCTCCTGCCACTGCTGCTGGTGCTTCGGCCGCTCGTGCGTCTCCTGCTGCAGCCGTCGCTGCTGTCTTGGCTCTCTCTGGTTACCAGCAGCCACAGCAGCAGCAGCAGCAGCAGCAGCAGTATGAGCAGCAGTACCAGCAATTGCAGCCGCAGCAGAACCAGTACCACCAGCAGCAACAGCAGAGTAGCCAGTACCAGCAGCAGCAGCAGCAGCAGCAGCAGCAGCAGCACTACCACGAGCACCAGTCCTTCTGTCCGCTCTCTCGTTCTCCTGCCTCTCCCACCGAGCCTGGAGCTGCTTCCCAAACCTGCCAGACTCCATACCAAACCTCATCTGCAGGTATGGCAAATGCCCCACTTTCTCGCTCTGGCTTGGCTGCGCCCTCGTCTACCGAACCTGCAGGTTTGATGGGTGCCCCTCCCGTTAGGGGAAGCTACTGGGGGGATTCTGCTACTAATGCTTATCTAAGTGCTGGTCCTAGTGCGTCGGCTGTTAGTGCCGGCCCTTCCATTCGGTTGCTATCCGTTCCCAACGCATCTCCTGCCACGTCATCCATGTCTGCTGGCCCTGCCACGTCAGCTGGCCGTGCCGTCTCAGCAGCAGCTGCCACGTCAGCAGGTGGTGGTCGCTCCCCACAAAAGGGTGCTGTTTCGTCTGGCTCAGCTGGCATGCTGAGGCTGCCAGGTGTCATGCCACATCAGCAGCAGCAGCAGCAGCACCAGCAGCAGCCGCAACAGTATTCCCAGGGCAACACTTTCATGCAGCAGCAGCCGCAGCAGCAGCAGCCGAGCAGCATGCCTGTTGGTATCGCTCGGCCCTCGGTCTCTGCTAACCGCTGTTTGCAGCAGCAGCAGCAATTCCATCAACAGCAGCCCCAGTGGCAGCAGCAGCAGCAGCAGCAGCACCACCACCACCACCACCAAATGGGGCAGCAGCAACTGGGGCAGCAGCAGCAGCTGCAGCAGCAACTGGGCCAGTTCACATCACTGGTTGTGGAGTCAAGTGGAAACTACCAGATGCTGCCAGTTTCCTCCTTCACCCTCCCACCCTCGCAATCCTCTGCGCCAGCTTTCTCTTCCCAGGAGCAATCACCGCAGGCAGGAGGGGCAGATGCGGCAGCAGCCACAGCTTCCAGCATGCAGCTACCACAGCTGCAGCAGCAGCAATATCAGCTTCCGCAGCAGCAGCAGCAGCAGCAGCTGCAGCAGCCGCCACAGCAGCAGTTTCAGCAGCAGCAGCAGCAGTTTCAGCAGCAGCAGCAGCAGCAGCCAGTGCAGTACCCAGGCTACAACAGTAGCAGCTACATTAGCAGCTACAACCGAAGCTCGGGCCTATCTGGCACGGACACTCTCACTCCTCCTGGTCCTCTAGGGGGGCTGTTGGCCGGGAGTGCTGACTTCGGGTGCAGCCACAATGGCAGTAACAGCGGGGGAAACACGTCAGTTCATGATTCCTATGCTGCTGTTGCTGGGGGTGATGTTGGCGCTGCTGCTGCTGCTGCTGGGATGGTTGGTGCAGGAGCTTCAGGTTTTGGTGTGGGACCGGCACCAGAAGCAGTGGGAGCAGCAGAAGAGGGAGGTTATCCCTCGGATGGTGTGGCAACGCCTGCAGATTCGGCTGCTGTATATGCTGCTTCAAACCAACTGCAACCACAGCAGCAGCAACAGCAGCAGCAGCAGCAGCAGCAGGGCATGTTCCCGCCTTACAGCAACGCCGCACGGGCAGCAGACGAGGGGGAGGCAGCAGCAGCAGCAGCAGGCGTCGTAGCATGTACCCCCAAGTCCCGCACTCTCAACGTTGACCTAACAGATCTCCTGGGGATGGAAGGGGGCACAGACTTGGGGCAGCAAGGGGAGGAGGCGAGGGCCACAGAGGGCATCTCAGCAGCCATGGGTGATGAGATCTTGGGCGGGCCCTTCAAAAAGCCGCGGCTTTGGGACGAGAGAGAGGAGATTGGCGGGGGGATAGCAGGGGCTTCGGCCTCCTCTCCCTTCTCCTGCTTTGGACGATTGTCCCCCCTTTCGCTTACAGAGGAAAGGGCGGAGAGTGGGGGAGAGGGTGGGGATGGAACGGAGGCAGTTGGTGAGCCTGGTAACCGGGCTGAAGGGATCATGGGCTTTGATATGAAAGGGGCGTCATGGGATTTTCTGGATGGGTGCTTGGACTTCATTTGACAGTGTGAGGTTCTTGGTGGTGCTTGGACGACTGAGTTCGTGGGAGAGGTGCATCAGTGTGTGCATGGATGGATGTGGCAGTGCAGAGGTTATGAGTAAGGTGGCCATTTGTGCCTTGACTGTCTGGTGGCATGCGCATGTGTGAGGGGGGGATGGGGGGGGGGAATTGCTGGGTGCATGTCCTGTTGTCTGTATTTTTTCAACCGTTTCTTTTGACACTCAACTGTGTCTACAATGGGGTGTTTTGGGGAGGGGGGGGGGGGGGGGGGGGCGCGGATGGGGGGGAGAGATCATCTAGGGAGCGCAGCTGTGGGAAAGAGGAGATGGGGGGGAGGGGTTGAAGTGGGGGGATGGGGGGTAGGAGAGATATCCGGGGAAGCAGCTGTGGGAAAGAGAAGGAGCACTGCGGTGCTCCTGGTGTTGGGCCATCGGCGCCACCAACAACGGATTGCGCTTGAAGTGCTGCTTACAATGAAGGCCACGAAGAGAGGAGGGGAAGGGGAGGGGGGGGTTTGATATGAGGCACATGCTTGCTTTTGTTTCTGTGTTTGGTGCTGATGGGAAGTTGGGCAGTGGGAGAGTGGAGTCAAGCCCACCCATCGTGCACCAACTATGCATGTTCCTGTTTCTGTTTGAACACTGCATTTTCTTTTGAATTGTTGGGGAATAATTTGCCCGGGGTAGTTGGGCTCCTGTCTTCTATGCAATGAGCCAAGGCTCCTACTGTAGCTAAACTACTATTACTAGTTGTGTTGCTTTGAAATCTACTATATTGCTTTCATATTTCTTTGCTAAAATATCTAGGTGAAATTGAGTATGCTTCGATGACTACCAATTTGTTGTACGATATGCAATGCATTTATTTGCACGGTGTATTACACACATTGTAGTACATAAATATGTGTTATGAATGGGACTGCCGAGTAGCGCGGAGGGCAATGGCGAAACTGTGAACAATAAAATGAAGGACAATACATTATATAGAAAGCCTAGGGTGATCCTGGACGTAGGATCGGAAGGTTCGGAAAAAGTGTCGAAGGGCCTCGATGTGTCGAAGCGAGGTCCGGAAAGGCCCAGGAGGCTCGAACTAAAAGGTCTGGAACCCTGGCGATGGTTCGGGACTGTTCGAGTCGTACGCCCTGTAGCAAGCCTCAGTATGTATCATTGTAACTACATCATAGTTGTAACGAGGTGCTTATCTCTGTTAGCGTACATATATCATATATATATATGTATATATATACATATATGCGATATAGGCTAGCTAGGTGCAGACTGTAGTGGGGGCAACCCCAATACTTAAACCCCCTCCTGTTTCTGTTTCAGTCACTCTGTTATTTCATTCTGACATGCTAGGTCAGACCCTAGCCTCCGCGCTTCCGCCCTAGGTAGTCCCGACTCACCTCTCGACCTAGCCCTAGCCCTAGCGCACCGTAGTCCCCGCTGGCCTCTAGCGCCTCGTAGGCTCCGTCGCACTGTCCACGCCGCGCCGCGCCTTAGCCTGCGCCCGTGCCCAGCCCGCACCCGTGCCGCGCACGCCGCTTGCACTCGCGCCCCGCCGCGCCGCTGCTCGCTGCACCTGCCACGCCTGCCGTGCCATGCCGTGCCGTGCCTGCCACGCTGGCCGCGCCGCCCCGTGCCACGCCCTGCCCGCCCGCTGTGCCGGTCGCGCCTGCAGCACCGTGCCGCCCCGCACCTGCTGCACCTGCCGCACTGCGCCTTCCGCGCCGCGCCTGCGCCCTGCCCGCTCCGCGCGGGCCCGCGCCTTGATTGAGCCCCACCCGCGCTTTGCTGCCTCTGCTGGCCCTGCAGCGGGACCTGTCGTTGGACCCGCCGCCACTGCCGTCGGATCTGCCACCGTATGCCGCCCTTAGCAACAGTTGCTGTCTGGGTACGTGCAGAGCCTTGGTCTCCTGCCAGCATGGCGGCCCAGCCGGTGTCAGTGTTCGGCCCCGGACGCCGAAGGCCGCACAATCGGTTTCGCGGCCAGGCTTTCGACCTTGCGCAGGCAGTTGAGGAGCCAGCGCCTAGAGGGCGAGTCGCTCGCGCCCACGTTAGTGGTGAGATGCCCGCCCCCTCCCACCCTGCTCCCCTTGGCACCGAGATGACATCGGCGCAGCGTGCAGAGTTCTAGGCTACCAGGACCGCTCTCTCCGTCTGGTAGTCACGCGACGCCGCCGTGCAGGTTGCCATCAGCCTGTACCTGCCAGTCGACGAGCACTCCCACTTCACGTTGGAGGAGACGGCTCAGGCCCTCTAGGATGCGATCGTCGCTCGCTACTCGACCCCGTCCTCCACCACCCCCGGTCGCCTCTTCCTCCAGTTTCTCTTCCTTGACCTGGCCTCCTCCACGGTCGCGGACCTTGTCGCGCACTGCCATGCAGCTTGTACCGAGGCCCAGCTTACCGTGCTCCCCTCGCCCACCCCTATCACCCTTTACCTCCTCACCTCCCTGACCGCCTCGCCCCTGTGCGTGATGCCCTCCTCGCACTGCACCCCGCTGACCTCACTATCGACCTCTTCTCCACCTCCATGATTCAGATAGAAACCCACCTTCGCGCCATTGCTCAAACCACTGGCGCGGTGACAGTACATATCTTTCAGGGCAGCCCTCTGCCCTAGCTCCCTGTCCCTATTGCCTCCGCCTCTATCGCTGAGACCGCTGTGACGGTCACTGCGTCCGGTCGCTCTTTTGATAATTCACGGCACTCTCGTGGACGTGGGGCATCGGCAGCGACGGATGGTGGGGGCATTGGTGGGGCCCGAGGTGCTGGGCGGTTACGGAGGAGGAGGGGGAGCAGCAGCAGCCGCAGCAGCAGTAGCTGCCGTGGGGGCCGGTGGGCCCTGGGAGTGTTGGGCATGGTGTGGGCCTTGGTGGTTAGACCCAGGGACAATCAGTGCTCTAGGGTTTGAGTGTCTCCTCTGTGGGCCAGGGTGGCATGGGACCTGGGGGATCTGTGCACTATACATACCAAGAGTATGTTGATTCCTATTATCCTGCTGTGTATAGTCTAGGCTCCTCTGCCGTGTGTAGACTTGGATCTCCTACTGTTTCTCCACCAGCCCCCGCTGCGGCGGCCCTCTCCTTCACACTCGACTATGGAGTGTCTCCCTGCTTCTTCCGAGACCACACTGCTCTCTGTCAGAGGATGAGGCTTGACGAATCCTTGAGCACACCCATTTGCATATTTGCTATTTACTTGTGTGTTATTTTGTGTGTTTTTCCCTTTCTGGAATCCCTACACTCTTCCCTACACATTGATATATTTTACATATATCATATATGTTACAGAATGTTTCGGACTTTCCTTGCATGACACGTTTTCTATTGCGTGGAGTGTTCCGTCACCGTCACTGTATCTCTAGAATCTCTACCATGCTTCTAGGTGGTGTTCCTACGGACGATTCCACTCATTTCTAGAACTCTCTTAAAAGTTCCTAGTTACCCTTCCCTAGAGTTATCGTAGGTATAAATAGCATTGCCTTTTTGCTCGTAGGTATAAATTATTGATTAGTATCGTTCAAGCTTTCGCTAAATCCTGGATGTAACACTTGGTAATAAGAGCACAAGGTTTCTTATCAACGCTTATCCGCAGGGCCTCTAGGAGCATGCCGAGGATGGAGTCGAACTTTTTGATCGCGTAAGTAAATCGTATTTTCTTACTAAGTTTCGACTAACCTCGAGCAGTTGCACCTAGGGTCCCCATCGATGGCGAGCAGCATCGCCAACTGTTCGATATTCAACATCGACGGAGCCGATTTTTTGGGGGGGCATACGTCTACGACCCTCACCAAAGGCGTCCCCATATTACCTGCATTAAAATCTGGAGTGTTTTCTGCCCTCCGAAGCGATCGACGGTAGCTGATGGAACTTACCCTGAGGCGTTTTCCAAGATTTTCCAACTTCGCCACGAATCTTGGATTTGCGCCAGCGAAGATCTACGACAGCCGTCCGATTGGATTTCGACGCTTCAGATTGTCCAAGGCGAAACGAACCTGAGCTGACGGAGTTCAAGTTTCAGCGCGTGTGGAAACGACACCTCTATAGCAGCGGATCATTCGACAACGGACATCGACGACAACGAATTGCCGCAGAAAACGAGTTGACCCTGACATTCGATGAAGTTGATCGAGCCTCAAGAATCTTTTCAGATCGCTTGGAGTTTGGTCTGTCGGATCATTATTGAACCAGCAGTCCAGATCAAGAGTGATTTTCCTCTTCACTGGGAGTGGACGTAGAGAAGCAGATATACGCTGACGTCACAATTGTTGACTGGACTTCAGAAACTTCCAGCTCTAAAAAATTCAGATCTCCTCGTCACGTCAGGAATTACGACAACAAAACGTTTCGTCAGTTAGAGTCATCAGCAAGAAACATCTACTTGGTAACATCGACTGGCGGAACTGCTGTCGCTGTACGTGGATCGTCAGAACGTCACCGAATCGACGACACAAATGGACATTTAGACTTCTCGATGGGAGAAACACGTCTAGGAGTCTACATTCGAGCCTGGCGACACAACGATTGCATACTGCTCGAGCCGTCGCAAAATCGACACCATTTCTACTACGAAGTCAGAAGCTTCGTTTGAAGCCAGATTCACACCAACGAAGCAGAATCTCGTACTTCACCATAGAAACAGATTTTGGTGGTACACCAACAATGCAACTGAACATCTCCAATGACTACACCGGCTTGCATAAAACTATCGTTCTACATCGATGAAATGAAATACTTCGACAATTGGGCGCACAAAGGATCACAGAAAAGTACAAGTTTTCTCTTGCAAAATCCTCGCCAGCCAAAGTTCATGCGAAGGAGCAGATTTCGCATGCAACAAATGACGCAGTTACTACGTTTCGTCAAGGATAGCGAGAAACTACTTCGTAACAGGAGCTGATCGATTCATCTTCACAACGAATCGCAGCTATCCGCAGTGATTGGTTGGAGCAGTTTGACATCAACCTCAAGTGATGACATCCCAATCATGTGACAGTGATTCCAGGTGTTTATGCCATCGCACAAAGGCACGAGGGTTGATAGACCGAGGAGTCATGACCTCGAATCTGGCAATCATTCGCATACCTGCGACCCTACGATACATGTATTGGAGACGATTATACCAGAAGCCGAAGCGTTACAAGCCTCGACGCAACTTCGACGATGCAGGAGAATGCCCAGCAACACGATCATGTTGACAAATGTGGGAGTTGCAGATTGCAACAAGACAATTACGCGCTTTACCGACCGTGCATCGGGAGCACGGATGAACATCCAGGCAGTTACTACCCGTGGATACAATGAGGGGAGAAGCAAGTAATCTTCATACCCTTGAGCGAACCAATCACCGGCAGCAATGGAGTGAAACCTATGCACTAAGACACATGTGTTCCCTGGTAGTTACAATTGTTCCACCCATCAGGAAAACTCTACACGAAAGAGGGAGCGGATGGATTCTTCTTCGAGCCCTTACGAGTCAATCGCATCCTTTGCAGCAGCCGCCACCGCGAGTGTTTACCACCGCCGCCGCCGTCGCAGCAGACAACTACAGTAACACCTAACCCTGATGGATATTCCTCAAAACAATGGAGATGACAGTGGATCTTATTCAGCATGATTTCAAGACCCGGCCTGGCACTACATCTACGATTTCTAGCTAGTGGGATGGAGATACCACTACGTCCTAGACCAACGTGGTAATCCCACATGCCCTCAAGAGCTTAGAGAAAAGAGACTCTTAAAAGGATGGGAAGACTATGAGGATCTTCGAGTCCTCATGGCCCAATGACTTCAATTGAGTCATCAAACCTGCGCCACCA